CCTTCGGCCGGCCGGCCAGACGCATCGCAGGGAACCGCTGACTGCCGGACCGGCCGGCCGGCCGGTGTTGAGACTGCGCAGACGCCCTGGCCTGCAGCCTGCAGCTTTGTTCGGCCGCGTCTCGGCCACTATGCCGCTGCCCGCCTGTCTGTCTGTCTGCCTGTCTGTCCGTCCGTCCGGGGGCGCGGCGTGGCGGCGCGTCTTGGGGCGTAGTCGGGCGCAGTCGCCGGCGTGGGGCCTAAGTGCCAGTGCTTGCGGCCACTGCCCTCCTCTCCTCCGTCGTCCGTCCGGCCGCAGCGCGCCGTCCTGCAGCCCGGCTCCCTCGCCCTTCCTCCTCGCGCTGCCGGCGGGAACTTTGAACCAACAAAACAAACTGCACGCATTGGTTCATTGGTCGGTTTTTAGCCGATACCGTTCCTTGTAAAATAGTCTGTGCTGCCGACAACGCCCTGGACTTCGACGACCCGTTTTCCTTACGGTGTACCGGCGCCCTGTTAGTCGATGCAGCCGGGCTGGGGCGCTTGCCCCGCACGCTGCGCGCCCCTCCCCACCCCGCCCCTCGTATTTCTGGTGGAAGTGCGTGTCCTATTCAGGAGCGAGGGCCTTTTTTAGGCCCGGGGGGCGTGCAGCCGTGCGGGTGTTAAGTGTTTCACGGGCCGTTTGAGTGTGTGTGCATGGTCGTGGAGACTTGACTCCCCAGTCTTGTTGTGTGACAGTCGAGCGGAGGCCGTGGTCCATCCTCGCATGACTGTCCCGAGGCTGCCCGCGCCGAACGCCACGTCGTTTGCGGTCCATTCCGCCGCGATGGTCTCGTCGACGTCCTCCAAGTCGACCACGTCTGTGGAGGCGGTGGCGGCGGCACCCGCGCGCCCTGCGGTCTAAATTTACCCCCGCGGCAAGGCGAGCTATGCGGCGAGGATTAGGCGGGGCGGGCACTCCGGCAGCCGCAGTCCGTGTGTGTGTGTGTGTGAGTGCATGCCAGCGCGTGTGTGTGTGTGCGGCAGTTGTAGTCCAATAGTGCGGCGCCATCCGGCCGGATGCCTGTCTAGAAGAAAAGGAAAAGACCAACAACGACTAGAAACACACCCGCTGGAGTCAACCGGCGGCTCGACCGGGTTTCGTGGAAGGTACCTGGCGTGGGTACCGCGCATAAAGGCGGCCCGAAGCCGAAAGCGCGCCGATGGAGCCGGCGCCGTTTTTCCCGTCGCGTCGCTTTCTTTCGTTTGCCAGTGTGGGGTTGGGTTCGCGTGCGGCGCAGTGCGGCGCGCCACCCCTGTCTTGGCCGCCAGAGTGCTGGTCGGCACGACTCGGTGTGTGTGTGTGTGAGTGTGTGTGTGTGTGGGGGTTGGTGTGGCGGCCCGCCCAGGCCAGGCGCGCAGGCTGGCTGGCAGGCAAGGCACAGGTGGGAGGGAAAAGGGGAGTCTCTGTGTCGGGGAAAGGTGACAGTGTCCCTCTGTTCCTTCGGGCCTTCAGGCCTTCGGGCTGCACGGGCGGCCCGTCACGGTGCCCGGCCGGCCTGCAGGTTAGACAGTGTGCCTGTCGGGGCGTCTCTTGTTCGCGCCGGGCTGAAGTGCGGCTTGATTTCGTTGACGGCTCGTCTTGGGCTCCCACAGTCGCGGCGCGAATTTGAACCGCGCGCCTCGGCGGCGGTGGCGCCGTGCCGCGGTGCTGGCGTCACCTTGGCCGCCTTGGCCTCGCTGGAGGTCCTAGGGCAGCGGTTCCCAACCTTTTGCGGTTCGCAACCCCAAATTTGTAGCCAAAACTTTCCGCGACCCCCAGGAAAAATTTCGCGACCCCACGCGACCCCTCCTTTAGCATGCCTTTGTTATGGAGTGCGATTATCTGCCTTAGTTTGGGAGCAGTATTGCCGCAAAGTTGATCAAAACGGTCACAAATGTCTTAAAAAATCGTGTTTTGGGCCGACTTTAAGCATCTACTGCGTCTGATCCGAGGCGGTAAATCGTCCTCCCTCAACGGGCAATTGGTCTTTGGACCTTCCTTTTGCATGCCTTTGTTACGGAGTGCGATTATCTGCCTTAGTTTGGGAGCAGTTTTGCCACAAAGTTGATCAAAACACGATTTTTCAGACATTTGTGACCGTTTTGATCAACTTTGCGGCAAAACTGTTCCCAAACTAAGGCACATAATCGCACTCCGTAACAAAGGCATGCTAAGGTAAGGTCTAAAGACCAATTGCCCGTTGACGTAGGACGATTTACCGCCTCGGATCAGACGCAGTGGATGCTTAAAGTCGGCCCAAAACACGATTTTTTTACAGACATTTGTGACCGTTTAGACCAAATTTGCGGCAGTACTGCTTCCAAACTAAGGCAGATAATCACACTCCGTAACAAAGGCATGCAAAAGGAAGGTCCAAAGACCAATTGCCCGTTGAGGGAGGACGATTTACCGCCTCGGATCAGACGCAGTGGATGCTTAAAGTCGGCCCAAAACACGATCTTTTACAGACATTTGTGACCGTTTTGATCAACTTTGCGGCATTTAAGCAGCCAGTGCTCGGCGTGTGGGCCAGCCGGGAAAACACCGCGACCCCAGGCGACCCCAGCCACCTCGGTGCGACCCCTCGAAATTTTTTCGCGACCCCATTTGGGGTCGCGACCCCAAGGTTGGGAACCGCTGTCCTAGGGCCTGGAGCCCCGAGCACCCTCGCGCGGCCTGGCTCGACGCACTGGCTGCCGTTTGAACCGCCATCGGTTGGTGTCTGCGGCAGTGTCCGTCCGGCGCGCCCGTCCCGTCCATCATGGCGCAGGCGACATCCATGGGCCGGGCGGCCGGGCACTTGGCAGTGGTGTGCGCGTGATGCGCGGATGTATACGGGCAGCGCAGGCAGCCTCGCTTGCGTCACTTCCGCCGGGCAGGTTGAGGGGAGGGGGGGGGCACCGAGCGAACGGATGAATGAATGAATGACTCTGGGCAGCGCATCGCTGCAAGCATGCAGCAGTAAAGTGCACCAGGGCTGGCCTGGGCGGGGCGCCTGCGAGGTAGGCAACGAGGTGGCTCCGGTGCCCGCTGGTTGCCTACCCGTCGGGCTGGCGGGCGCCGAGGAGGTAGGCAACGAGGTGGCTTCGGTGCCCACTGGTTGCCTACCCGTCGGGCTGAAAGGCACCGCGCGCGGTCTGCGCGATGCACATGGCGGTCAAGTTCGCGGGCCCAGAGCCTTGAAAGGAGTCCTGCCACGGCCTGCCACGCCCCGCCGCACCGTGCGTACCCGACTCGGTCCCGTGGGAACTCGGGCTGCAATGGCCCGCGTCTTGTTGAGATGGGCCAGAGCCGGACGCCCCCCCCCCTCTTCAGAGACTCGGTCAGACTCGGTCGGAGAGGCTTGGAGCCGAGCGACGCCGAGAAGTGCGTTGCCTAGTTGCCTGCTCTTGGTGGCCGCCGCTGCCGCCGTGGGCGCGGCGTGCTGTGCGTTCGGGTCTGGCGGTGCGGTCGCCCCGTCGCCGGGCCGCGGCAGCGGATCTCTACGGGTCTCGTGCGCGCCGCGCTGCGCTGCGACCTTGGCATCCTGGCCCGGCGGCGCGGCGGCGCGGTGCCGCCTGGTTCAGCCTGTTCCGCCCGCCCCTCCATTGACACGTTTCATCGGCAGGTGTGTAGTGTGGACGAGTCGGTGCCAACCGCAGCCCTGGGCGCCCCGCCCCGGAGCCCTTCGTCGCTCCGTCTCTCTCGCACCTGCCCGGTAAGCTCCGTGAGTGCGAGAGAGACAGGGCGACGGAATGAGTCTGGTGTCCGGTTTAATTTGCGGCGCGGTGGCGTCACCGCGTGCCCCACTGTTGGCGCTCCTGTTTTTCCGCGCGCTGCTGTAGCATGCTGTGGCCCTGGTACCAGCTGTCACCAGGCTGGCGGGCCGGCGGGCGTGTTGTGCTGCTGGGCCCCTCTGGCCCCGTACGCCCTCGCCACGCCCCCGCCCCCTGGAGCCGCTCCGGAGCGCCCAAAGTCGGCCCTGATCACGATTTCCAGACGACGTTTGTCGCTGTTTTAACCAACTTTGCCGTCAAACTTCTTCAAAACCAAGTGGGCTAATCGCACACCAAGGGCTTGCAAAAAGTTGGCCTCGAGGGAGTGCGCTTAACCAGACTGAATAGGACGCCGTGGCCGGCCAAAGTCAGCCCATGCGACGATTTTGCGCTGATGGCGCAAATTTGGTGACAATCACGCCACCGTGCCTGGCACTGCCTGCTCAATTCAAAGACAGCCCCGTCACGTGTGGCCCGAGTACGTCTCTTTACGGCGGCGCTTAACGACCGGGCCGCTCTTGCGTCCTGCCTCTTGGTCGGCCGCCTCGCCGCGCTTGAAGCGCTTGCCGCGCTTGCCCGCCCGGCGGAGCAGTAATGATGTGATTCACTGCCCGGCGCTATCGCGGTCTGTCTCTCTCGCACTCGTGGGGCGTTCCGTGGGGTCGCGAGAGAGACGGAGCGACTGCTCGGCGCGGCGCGTTCCTGGACGGGCCCCCCTTGTGACAGGCCAGGGCTAGCCGGGGCCGACGGGCCGACGCGTGGGTGACGTCACGACCGGGAGATGTGGATGACGTCATCCTACGCGGCACTGCAGCGCCCGGCGGCACACTGTTGTGGCGGTCTTGTGCATGACCTTTTTATCGGCGGTACGTTTTGTATCGCCGAAAATTGGTCCGACGTCTCACCCGGACGGATTTCAATGGACGCATGCCTTGCGGCCGATCTGAGATCGGAGGACTAAGCCGTGCCGGCCGACCGCTGGAGCTGTGCGGTGGTAGCCACGGGAATGGCGGCGTGACCTTTCGGGTCGCTGGGCCTTGCCGGGCCGCGCAGGGCCTGTCGGCGCCTTTAAGACACTTTGCAGCCCTCCGCACGCGACGCGAAGGGCCCCCGCCGCCCTTTAGAGCCCTCGGGGCGCCCTCAAAGCACGCCCTGCCCACCGCGAGGCGAACCTTGGCCTGGAAAGCGGGCCCCTCGCTACAAGTGACTGTTCTGTTTCTAACGGCGTTCATCCTCTTGTTGCAGGTTCTGCCCTAAGCCGTCGCCATGACGACAGACATATCCCTGGTCCGGTGGGACCCGACGCTCCAGTCGGAGATCGTCGAGGACTACGAGTACGACGGCGGAAACTCATCGTCACGACTCTTCGAACGATCGCGCATCAAGGCGCTAGCAGGTGAGATGGGGCGGTGTGTCTGGGGTCTGTCCCGACAGGTGGTGTGGTGTTGACCCCCGGGGCTCGGCGCTCCTCCCCGCCACTCCCAGCGCCGCGCTGCCGGCGTGGGCGTGCATATCCCGCTGCCCGGTTGTCGTCAAGTCGTTGGTAGTCGCGTCTTTACAGTAGTCCCCGTCCTGCGGGTTTAGGACTGGTGGGCGTGGCGTGGCGTGGTGCGTCCGGTGCGGTCCGCCGGCCTGCCCTGCCCGGCGTGGCGATGCCTCCAGCTCGCCCCCTCCCGCCACGCCTCGGCATCCTGGCGTCCCCCGGCGGCCACGCCATCGAAGCTAGCGGCATGTCCAGCTCGGCGGGGTCCTTGTGGCGCGGGGCGGGTGCGGGAACGGGCATTAGCACCTGCAGGGATCGTCCCGGGGCGCTAACGAGGGAGGCGACCCACTGACGGGGTGCTGCGTGCGCGGAGAGAGGCGTGGACCCGATCTAGTTGCCGCCGCGCCTCGTCCTAGTCCACGTCGCCGCGGGGTGATGGGGGCGCCGTGACCGGGGCATGGACCCCGGCCAGTGGGTAGCTGCGCGCGCGCGGCCCGCCCGGGTGGTGCCCGACCTGGTGCCGGACGTGGTGGTCGACGTGGACGTGGTGCCCGCCGTGCGCGTGGTGCGGCCGCAGGTGGCGGTGCCCGTCGTGGTCCCCGAGGACTCGAAGCAAGCGAAGCGGGCCGTCGGCTCGGTGCTGGCCCTGCGCCGGAACAGCGAGGTGGAGCGCGCCTGGGAGCGGCGCGTGGTGCGCTTCGCGGACGAGGACGGCGACGACGACGACGACTGGGACCTCGGCGCCGTGTGCCTCGACATGTACTACCCGTCCGAGCTGTACGAGAGGGTCGTGTGCCACCTCAAAGGTCTGTCGCGGCCGCGGTCCGCGACGCAGAGGTCGCCTGGGTCGGGGAATGCCTGTTCCGTGTCTCGGCTGTGGCGACTCGGGAATCCACAATGAGCTACCTTGCCGAAAACTGATTTCTGCTACTTTTATATTCTGCTGTGCTTTGGCGCGGCATGCCTTAAATAAATCAGATTTCACAATGACGCTCGAGTATTCCTCTCCAGAACGCGTCCTGGCTGGACAATCGCCCGAGTTGGTCCATTATCTGACTGCCTGTCCTCCTCTTTGATTGCAGACGAACGAGAAAGTGTACAGAAAAAACGTTCCAAAAATGGGTCAACTCCCATCTAGTGCGAGTCAACTCGCGTATCAGCGACCTGTACATCGACATGCGGGACGGCAAGAACCTCCTTAAACTCCTAGAAGTACTCTCCGGAGAGAGATTAGTGAGTAATCGATTCGATGGTGATTTGTGTGTGGCTGTCCGTCTGGTGAAATGCAGGGTATTTATTGTGTCGTTCTTTCTCCGCTCACAGCCACGGCCAACCAAAGGCAAAATGCGTATCCACTGCCTAGAAAACGTAGACAAAGCACTCCAATTCCTGCGCGAGCAGAGAGTGCATTTGGAGAACATGGGGTCCCACGACATCGTGGACGGCAACCCCCGCCTGTCCCTGGGTCTTATTTGGACCATCATTCTTCGCTTCCAGGTTGGTTGAAATGGATGCCCTGTGTTTGGTGAGTGCGTTTGTCGTGCAGGGCGTTGACTGACTGTGCCTGTTCCAGATCCAAGACATCACGATCGAAGAGACCGACAACCAGGAGACCAAGTCCGCCAAGGACGCCCTGCTGCTGTGGTGCCAGATGAAGACCGCCGGCTACCACAACGTCAACGTGCGCAACTTCACCACCTCGTGGCGCGACGGCCTGGCCTTCAACGCCATCATCCACAAGCACCGCGCCGACCTCATCCAGTTCGACAAGCTGTCCAAGTCGAACGCCATGTACAACCTCAACAACGCCTTCAACGTGGCCGAGGACAAGCTGGGGCTCACCAAGCTGCTGGACGCGGAGGACGTCTTCGTGGACCAGCCCGACGAGAAGTCCATCATCACGTACGTGGTGACGTACTACCACTACTTCAGCAAGATGAAGCAGGAGACGGTGCAGGGCAAGCGTATCGGCAAGGTGGTGGGCATCGCGCTGGAGAACGACCGCACCATCCAGGACTACGAGAAGCTGACCAGCGACCTGCTCATGTGGATCGAGAACACGATCGCGTCCCTGGGCGAGCGCAAGTTCGCCAACTCGCTGGAGGGCGTGCAGCGGCAGCTGGCGCAGTTCAGCAACTACCGCACCGTGGAGAAGCCCACCAAGTTCGTGGAAAGGGCAACCTGGAGGTGCTGCTGTTCACGCTGCAGTCGCGCATGCGCGCCAACAACCAGAAGCCCTACACGCCGCGCGAGGGCAAGATGATCTCCGACATCAACAAGGCCTGGGAGCGCCTGGAGAAGGCCGAGCACGAGCGCGAGCTGGCGCTCCGCGAGGAGCTGATCCGGCAGGAGAAGCTGGAGCAGCTGGCGGCGCGGTTCAACCGCAAGGCCGGCATGAGGGAGACGTGGCTCAGCGAGAACCAGCGCCTCGTGTCGCAGGACAACTTCGGCTTCGACCTGGCCGCCGTGGAGGCCGCCGCCAAGAAGCACGAGGCCATCGAGACGGACATCCTGGCGTACGAGGAGCGCGTGCAGGCCGTGGTGGCCGTCAGCCAGGAGCTGGAGGCCGAGAACTACCACGACATGGCGCGCATCAACGCGCGCAAGGACAACGTGCTGCGCCTCTGGAGCTACCTGCTGGAGCTGCTGCGCGCGCGCCGACTGCGCCTCGAGCTGTCGCTGCAGCTGCAGCAGAGCTTCCAGGAGATGACGTACATCCTGGACTCCATGGAGGACATGAAGATGACCCTGCTGTCCGACGACTACGGCAAGCACCTGATGGGCGTCGAGGACCTGCTGCAGAAGCACTCGCTGGTTGAGGCCGACATCAACGTGCTGGGCGAGCGCGTCAAGGCCGTGGTGCAGCAGTCGCAGCGCTTCCTGGACGAGGGCATGACCGGCGAGGAGGGCTACAAGCCGTGCGACCCCACCATCGTGGTGGACCGCGTCTCGCAGCTGGAGAACGCCTACTCCGAGCTGGTGAAGCTGGCCGTGGAGCGCCGCTCCCGCCTGGAAGAGAGCAAGCGGCTGTGGCAGTTCTACTGGGACATGGCCGACGAGGAGAACTGGATCAAGGAGAAGGAACAGATCGTGTCCACGGGCGACATCGGCCACGACCTCACCACCATCCACCTGCTGCTGTCCAAGCACAAGGCCCTGGAGACGGAGATCTCGAGCCACGAGCCGCAGCTCGTGTCCGTCATGTCCGTGGGCGAGGAGCTGGTGCGTCAGGAGCACTTCGGCAAGAAGCGCATCGAGGAGCGGCTGCAGGAGATCATGGGCATGTGGCACCACCTGCTGGACACGTCCGCGCTGCGCCGCCGCCGCCTCGAGGAGGCCGTCGACTTCCACCGCTTCTTCGCGGACGCCGACGACGTGGACCACTGGATGCTGGACGTGCTGCGCCTGGTGTCGAGCGAGGACGTGGGCCGCGACGAGGCCAACGTGCAGTCGCTGCTCAAGAAGCACAAGGACGTGGCGGACGAGCTCAAGAACTACGCCACGGCCATCGAGGCCCTGCACCAGCAGGCCGGCACGCTGGGCGAGCGCGACCGCGAGTCCGCCGAGGTGCAGGAGCGCCTGGCCAGCATCGACCACCGATACAAGGAGCTCATCGAGCTGGCCAAGCTGCGCAAGCAGCGCCTGCTCGACGCGCTGTCCCTCTACAAGCTGCTGAGCGAGTCGGACGGCGTGGAGCAATGGATCGGCGAGAAGGACCGCATGCTGCAGACCATGGTGCCCGCCAAGGACATCGAGGACGTGGAGATCATGAAGCACCGCTACGACGGCTTCGAGAAGAGATGAACGCCAACGCGTCGCGCGTGGCCGTGGTGAACCAGCTGGCGCGGCAGCTGCTGCACGTGGAGCACCCCAACTCGGAGCAGATCCTGGCGCGCCAGAACCAGCTGAACCACGACTGGGCCGAGCTGCGCGAGAAGGCGGAGGGCAAGCGCGAGGAGCTCAACTCGGCGCACGGCGTGCAGACTTTCCACATCGAGTGCCGCGAGACCATCAGCTGGATCGAGGACAAGAAGCGCATCCTGCAGTCCACCGACAGCCTGGAGATGGACCTGACGGGCGTCATGACGCTGCAGCGCCGCCTGTCCGGCATGGAGCGCGACCTGGCCGCCATCCAGGCCAAGCTGGACGCCCTGGACCGCGAGGCCGAGGCCATCAGCGGCGAGCACCCCGAGGAGGCGGCCGTCATCCGCCAGCGGATCGAGCAGATCCAGACCATCTGGGAGCAGCTCACGCAGATGCTCAAGGAGCGCGACTCGAAGCTGGAGGACGCCGGCGACTTGCACCGCTTCCTGCGCGACCTGGACCACTTCCAGGCCTGGCTCACCAAGACGCAGAAGGACGTGGCGTCCGAGGACACCCCCGCGTCGCTCGCCGAGGCTGAGAAGCTGCTGAGCCAGCACCAGAGCATCCGCGAGGAGATCGACAACTACACCGACGACTACACCAAGATGATGGAGTACGGCGAGCGCCTGACCGCCGAGCCGTCCACGCAGGACGACCACCAGTACATGTTCCTGCGCGAGCGCCTCAAGGCCCTGCGCGACGGCTGGGAGGAGCTGCACCAGATGTGGGAGAACAGGCAGCAACTGCTGAGCCAGTCGCTTAACCTGCAGATGTACAACCGCGACGCCAAGCAGGCCGAGGTGCTTCTGAGCCAGCAGGAGCACGTGCTGAGCAAGGACGAGACCCCCACCAACCTGGAGCAGGCCGAGAGCCTCATCAAGCGGCACGAGGCCTTCCTCACCACCATGGAGGCCAACGACGACAAGGTCAACTCCGTGGTGCAGTTCGCCAGCAGGCTGAGCGACGAGGGCCACTTCGCCACCGACAAGGTGCTCAAGAAGGCCCAGAACATCGAGGAGCGCCGCGAGGCCAATCGGCAGCGCGCCCTGGAGCAGATGGAGAAGCTCAAGGACCAGCTGCAGCTGCACCAGTTCCTGCAGGACTGCGAGGAGCTGGGCCAGTGGGTGCAGGAGAAGAACATCACGGCGCAGGACGAGACGTACCGCAGCGCCAAGACGGTGCACAGCAAGTGGACGCGCCACCAGGCCTTCGAGGCCGAGATCGCGTCCAACAAGAATCGCCTGGACGAGGTGCAGCGCTCCGGCGAGGAGCTCAAGAGGGAGAAGCCCGAGCTGGCCGAGCTCATCGACCCCAAGACCTCGGAGCTGGGCCAGCAGTTCGACGACCTGGAGCGCACCACCAAGGAGAAGGGCGAGCGCCTGTTCGACGCCAACCGCGAGACGCTCATGCACCAGACCTGCGACGACATCGACTCCTGGATGACGGACCTCGAGAAGCAGATCGAGAGCGAGGACACCGGCACCGACCTGGCCTCCGTCAACATCCTCATGCAGAAGCAGCAGATGATCGAGACGCAGATGGCCGTCAAGGCCAAGCAGGTGACCGAGCTGGAGTCGCAGGCCGAGTTCCTGCAGCGCACCGTCCCGGAGAAGATGGACCAGATCACCGAGAAGAAGAAGGCCGTGGAGCAGCGCTTCGAGCAGATCAAGGCGCCCCTGCTGGAGAGGCAGCGGCAGCTGGAGAAGAAGAAGGAGGCGTTCCAGTTCCGGCGCGACGTGGAGGACGAGAAGCTGTGGATCGCCGAGAAGATGCCCCAGGCCACGTCCACCGACTTCGGCAACTCGCTCTTCAACGTGCACATGCTCAAGAAGAAGAACCAGTCCCTGCGCAACGAGATCGACAACCACGAGCCGCGCATCCACGCCGTGTGCAGCAACGGCAGGAAGCTCATCTCCGAGGACCACGAGGACGCGCCGCAGTTCATGCACCTCATCGAGGACCTGCTGTCCAAGTGGGACCGCCTCAAGTCTGCTGTCGATGAGAGGCGCAACCAGTTGCTGCAGTCTGAGAAGGCGCAGCAGTACTTCTTCGACGCCAGCGAAGCTGAGTCGTGGATGAGTGAGCAGGAGTTGTACATGATGGTGGAAGACCGTGGCAAAGATGAAATTTCTGCGCAAAACCTTATGAAGAAGCACGAGGGCCTGGAACAGGCAGTGGAGGACTATTCAAATACCATTCGGCAGCTGGGAGACACCGCTAAGCAGCTTATCAGTGAACAGCATCCAGACAGGTACACCAGCCTAAATCTTTATAGCATTTAAAATACCCATCAAACTCTGCTTTTGCCGGACTAATGCCTTTTTTAATTCGTTTTAGTGACCAGATTGCTGTGAAGCAATCTCAAGTGGACAAACTGTATGCTGGACTGAAGGACCTGGCGGGTGAGCGAAGAGCCAAGTTAGATGAAGCTCTACAACTCTTCATGTTGAACAGAGAAGTAGATGACCTGGAGCAATGGATTCAACAGAGAGAATTAGTGGCTGGTTCACATGAGCTTGGTCAAGATTATGACCATGTCACTGTAAGTACATGGTTCTTCCATCATATGGTTTCATCATCTGTTAATATTTATTTATTTTGTAATTCGTCTAATCATTTTATTCTGTCTGTTTTTTTGTTGTTTTTTTGAATGCTGTAGCTCCTTTGGGAGAGGTTCAAGGAATTTGCTCGTGATACTGAAGCTGTTGGCTCAGAGCGATTCAATCAAGTGAATAGCATTGCTGATTCACTAATTGCAGCGAGTCACTCTGACAGTGCCACAATTGCCCAATGGAAAGATGGTCTTCTAGAAGCATGGCAAGATCTCCTTGAGATGATTGAAACTCGAACACAGGTAAAAAATAAATTGCCATTTTCATTACTAAGCATAATTTATGTACTTTATTCTCTAGAATTAGTTTTTAATTTCCATTATCGTTATTGCTTTCCAGATGCTGGTTGCATCTCGTGAACTTCACAAGTTCTTCCATGACTGCAAGGATGTCTTGGGTCGTATCCAAGAAAAGGAACACGCCATGTCTGATGAATTGGGCCGCGACGCTGGCTCAGTTTCTGCACTCCAGCGAAAGCATCAAAACTTCATGCAAGATTTGCAGACCTTACAGTCACAGGTATGGTGCTCTCTCCTTACTCTGCTAGGGTACTCTCAACCGTTCATCTTTGCACCGTAGGCACTGTTCCATGCAATTACCTCTGTGTTCTGCCCTCAGGTTTCTCAAATTCAGAAGGAGTCTGAGAATTTGCAGACATCCTATGCAGGTGATAAGGCCAAGGAAATCACAAACAGAGAAGCAGAAGTTGTTAACGCCTGGAGTAATCTTCAGAATATGTGTGACAGTCGCAAACAGAAGTTGGCTGATACTGGAGATTTGTTCAAATTCTTTATTGATGTTAGAACACTTATGTTGTGGATGGATGATGTTGCACGGCAAATGAACACTTCTGAAAAACCCAGGTAAAGGCCCATGTTCTCTTAGCTCCACCATTCCAAAGAAAGTGATGATTGACATTGCTGACAAACCAATCTTTCTCTTTTAACAGGGATGTTAGTGGAGTAGAGCTACTAATGAACAACCACCAAAGTCTTAAAGCTGAAATAGATACCCGAGAAGAAAATTTCACTGCCTGTATATCTTTAGGCAAAGAGCTTCTCTCGAGAAATCATTATGCATCAAATGAGGTGAATTATTTTCTCTTGTCACATTTCTTTGTTCTTTTTGGTCTAGCTGCACTGTTAACATATCTTAACCTGTTTCACCTCTAGATTAAGGAAAAGCTTCTTTCACTGACCAATCAAAGACACTCCTTGTTACGACGCTGGGAGGAGCGATGGGAAAACCTCCAGCTTAGTAAGTTCAAATCCTTTTAGATCAGCCAATTATGATTTTTTATAAATATCTTAGTGTTTTAAAATTATTTTTTCCCCCTTATGATTAAATTGTATATTGTATCTTTTCTTTCCAGTTTTGGAAGTTTATCAGTTCGCTCGAGATGCAGCAGTCGCAGAGGGATGGCTTATAGCACAAGAACCTTATCTAATGGCTAGTGAACTTGGAATGAGTATAGATGATGTAGAAGCACTCATCAAGAAACATGAAGCCTTTGAAAAGTCTGCTGCTGCCCAAGAGGAAAGATTCAGTGCTCTGGAGAGGCTTACAACTGTAAGTTCAGTCTATATCATTTTCCTCTGTTTAATGTGCCCTTGCCCAAATTTAGTAACTCATCTCGAAATTGTCCTTTGTGCAGTTTGAATTAAAAGAGTTTAAGAGGAGAGAAGAAGAAAAAGAAAGGAAACGACAAGAAGAGTTGGCAGCTCAGCAGCAACCTATTACATCACCGCAAGGAACCGGAGATAGGTAATCCTCAATTTTCTGAGTGCAAATTTGTCTATTCTGAGTACTAGTAGGTTGATGACACCATGTTTTGCCTGCAGGCCCGATGGTCCCGGTTCACCGCAAGCAGAAGCAGTTCAGGCTGCTAGTGACCAGGAGGCACAAGGTAAGATAACTTTTCTATTTGATAACCTGTTTGCATTTCTTTTTTATGGATTTGACACATATGAGAACACTTCATTAACTGCAAGTGGATACCAAATGTTTTGACTATCTGGACTGGGCAATAATTTTAAGTGCTATCTGGTTAAGCATTTGGACAAAGATCATGCCTAACAAAAGTAAATCATTGACTAATGTAAAGATTTTATCTCCTAGTTAATAATCTAGTCAAATTGTTAACTCAATGGGTTGCTTTGGGTGTGACACCTTACCAGCGTGCAAAACCACTGTTGCTTTCACTCGATTCAGTGCTGTCTCCACACATCTGTGTGTCCTGGCTTTGGAATGGTCTCTCTTCTGCTTCACTTATTCTCATCAACATGTGCCATGTCCATTTTCCCATCTTTTGAGCTTTTATGTGCTCACAGTTTTTTACATATCTGGCCAATCCCCAGATATTAGTAGTACCACATAATGCTAACCTTGCCCCAGCCCCACACATGTCATGTTTGTTCTTCCAAATTAAGAAATGTGTGTATGCTGGTCGATAACCTCGTATTATTTGAGGGCATTCCAGCATTATGCATGAGGCATTGTTTGAAATGTGTTTTCTCTTTCTGTCCTCAATCCTATCTCTCCTCCATACGAATCCTCAACATCACACAAACAGCTTCTCGCAAATCTTCAGCCATAATTGTGGTTGCTCAAGTGGAACGTTCAGCTCTTAGAGAAGGTGAGTCGGGCACTGCTTCTAGGCTCACTCGCTCAGTACTTTTTTTATGGTTTCTTTACTGTTATCTTGCTGTCACATATTCAAGCAATTCATGCAGTATCCATAAAGTCTATTGTTAAACTACATTCGTAGTTACCTTTACAGTATGACTTGAATTGACTATGAACATATTTGTGATCAGCAAGCATCAAAAATTTTGGTTAAAATTTATGTTTTTAACAACATGTAGCTGTTTTAGACAAATTAGAGCTAGAAACTTAAGACTCAATATGTAGTTCATTTTATTTTTAGAATATATTTTACTTCAGATAGTTTTAAATTTTTCTGATAACCAGTCTTTGTAGACACAAATGGCTGTTAAAATTGTAATTTAAACTCACTCTTTTTATTTAGAATAAAAACTCTTTATTTTTACATAAATTTATACATTCACAAGCTTTACAACTTTCACTCTATTTCTGTGTCTTTCTCTTGCGCCTTGTAGCATGTAGCCATACTTCTCTTCTTTTGTCCTTTTCTGTTGTCCTTTATAAAATGTTCTTTGTTTTTGGTGTTTTGTGAAGTGACCTTGGTTTGTTTGTTCACGTTTTGTCACCTTTCAAAAGTTGATGGCAAATAGCTTTCAGGTGTCGTTCAATTAACTGGTGAATTGTGTTCCTAACATTTGTGGTATTTGGTGTTTACAGTTGGTGTATCTGGTCTGAAAAGAAAATATTTCAAGTCTACAAACACTCAATGTAGCTAAATTTCAAGCTGAACTATGAATTTGATCTTTCCTTCTCTAATAGTTACAGCAAAAAGAATTCAATTGAGTCATAATTAACTTATAATAACTTTTTTGTTTGTAGAGTCGAGATGTTATTCTTTTCACCCACTAATTCAAGTGGCAATGTGTATGTGGCACTCAAATGTATTCATTCACTGCAGGTTCTCCGTCTAATGGTTGTGGTTCTACACACTCATGTCAAAGTTCTGGCAGTTTCTACAGTACAGTTCCTGTGTGTGATAGTCACTTCTGTCTGTTTGCTGGTTCATGTGTCGCATTGAAACCCACTCTTAAGAAACCTGCACACAGCAAAGTCCTGCTTACATTCAAATAGCTTGTTCAATATTATTTTCCTGTTCATTGTTGTTTCAATGAATGCCATGATATGACTGTCAAAGGTTCCTCGCCATTTCCTCAAGTTTCTTAATAGTGGGATTCACTGTATTTTACTCAATTTTGTGAATCTCTGTGAAACACTCCTCTTCTGCCTTCTGTGGGTACACCTCTGGTGTTTTGTTTCCATAAATTTTTTGTAGCTGCTGTTAACTGCCGCTCTCCCTGCTAACCAGTTCATTGAGAACGAATGCCTGTTGTGTGATTAGCACCAGTAGATTTTGTCCTAGGGTGATGGGCAGATTGTAGTTGGTTAGTTTTCTTTTTGAGGTAAGTGGGATTAACACCAACCTGGCATGACACTTGCACTTAATTAATGTGTATTGTTTATTTCATATTTTCAATTCTGTGCAAATTAAATAATAGTGATAGCTGATTCTTTTATTTTATTATTGCTGCATGATGTTAAGAATATTGCATGCTCAAATATCTATCACTTGCATGTTTATCTAGTGGTGACGGATGTTGAAGATAATTTGCACAAGCGTCGCACGATGCCAGAACCTGCACCGTCTCTGCGGCAAAATCCTCCGGAAAGGGTTAAATCTCTTCCTGTTCAATCAACACAACCAACCGGTGAGGGTATACTTTAAAACTGTCTGACTGCAAACTAATCACTGATTTTCTGCAGTAATCTTGTAGTTCAGTCCAGTCCAAATTCCCTAATTGTGCATCTTGAAAAAGAGCACAGCACTTAAAGAAAGATTATCTAATCAGTTAATGATATTTTGATAGCTTTACTGCCTTGTTCACAATTATTTTAAGGCCCTACCCTGGTATCTTAAAATGCCATTTATTTATTCTATGGGACTATCAGCCCCAAGGTTGAGCGCCAAAGATACCTCTTCCACCTCTCGGAAGAAAGACCGCTCACGTTCTAAGTCGCCATTCAGAAGTTTCCGTTGGAAGAAAGGCTCGGGTCCAAAGAGCCCCACTCTTGCTCCTACTAGCGCCAGTGATGATGAATCCAACATGGAGAGAGAAGGTCAGTATTTGGTGGTTTAAACCGTTGCAAACTGTTCATTAATTTCTTAGCCCTTCAATTTCAAAAAATAAGAAAAGGAAGCTGGTTCTACAACACTTTGCTTGTGCTCTATGCATTTATTGTTGCAAGACAATACTTGCTACCCCCTGGTACTGATCATGCTCACTCATCAAAGAAAAAAAAAACCTTGTGGTTATTTAGTTACTTTCCCTGAAGCAGCACACAGTGATCCTATGATTTGTCTATCTCTGCCAACGGTAGGTAAAGAAGAATGTGAGTGCTGTAATTTAGCAGTAGCTTTCTTAGCTTGATGGGAGATTTAATATTTCAGTAGCGTTTGAATGCTTCTTGTTTTGTTTTGTATTTTTATTAAATTTCTGCATGGTTCTTCAACAATAGTTTTGTGTTGGAATGATTAAGTTGTACATTAGGAAACATATAATTTGCAAGGAATATTTCAGGTGAAGCTGTGTTCAAGTCATTTTCTGTATTGGAGCTTCTTATCTTTTTTCCCACTATTCAGATTCTAGCAAGGTTATGCTGGCCAAGCTGAGCTGGTGCCAACTGTTGAAGTTAAACAACATTCTAAATTGTTGCTTTACAGGAAATCTCTAATCTTTGTTACAAATAAATTTTTCAGATATCCTGTCTTTTTCTTCTCTATTCTGAGTTTTTTGACCCCATCAACCTCTGTTTCTGTTTCTTCCTCTTAGAAGCTGCTTCATCAACCAACATGGAGGGTACCTTAACTCGGAAACATGAATGGGAGAACCAGACAAAGAAGGCAACCAACAGGTAAGGTTTTCAGAAAGTACCCTTTTTTTTCTTCTGGAAAATTTAACTTATTTTTCACTACAACTTCTTATTTATTTTAAAAAATGATTAGGTCATGGGATAAGGTGTACATGGTCCTACGAGGAAGCCTCTTCTCTTCATATAAAGACCAAAAGTCGTACAACTCCGCTCCTGGAATCTGCTTTAAGAATGAGAGTCCAGCTGATCTTAGGGGAGGATCTTGTCTCCTTGCAGAGGACTATACTAAGAAGAAACATGTATTCAGGCTCAAGTAAGATTCTGTCTCTTTCTCTTTTTTATCTATTTTAAATTGTAAGGCTTTGGTGCCTACTACTTTTCCTACATTTTAATTCAATCTTGGATTTCTTGTTTTCATATAGGTTAAATGGTGGTGCTGAATACTTGTTCCAAGCTAAAGATGACAGTGAAAGATCTAAATGGGTAACAAGTTTGGCACAGGCTTGCGAATTGCAAGGCTCTCCAGGACCATCTCGAGCCCAGACCTTACCTGCATCAACAGAGCAGCGCAGAGAGGATGCCAAGAGACGCAGTTTCTTCACACTCAAGAAAAGGTAATACATCTTATTGTGTAAAGTAACTTTATTAAAGTTGTTGCTCCATTCTTGCTTACATGTGTCTTGAACAGCATCAGTTCCGTCTAATTACATTCCCACCTGTTTTTGTTACAGTTAAGAGTGCTGGAGGACATTCTGTCGCTCTTTTTTCATCACATGGCCGCTATCCAGCTATTCCCACCTCTCGCTGAAAAGCTACTCACCGTGATTGACACCCCGGCACCATGTTGCCAGAAGATCATTTGTTATCACTTTGTACCATCATTTATTTTATTTGTGTCATGATTCATTTGTTCATAACTGTGCAGCAGTTTTTCAGCAATACAAAGCTTATCATTTTTATTTGTATAAACATGTATTTACTGCCAGGTTTTTCAAACTAATGTTATTTTAATGATACGGAAGCACAACGCCTCATGTTCATAGGTGGGCTGGGGACAGATTGGCTGAGAAAATGTTTTTAAATATTTCCTTAATTTATTAATAAAGTTTTACCTTTTTGTATGTGTGGAACAATGCATTATGGCTTTAATTCTCCACTATGCCAGGAACTGAATAGTTCTCCAAGCTTGTCTTTTTACGTCCCCTATGATGCAAGAACTGTGCCTTCAAACCAATTGTATGTGAACTCAGTTTACCAGATTTCAAATAATGGTGTGGTGCCATTTCATTTTAAAGGCTATCCCGTCTACATGGACTCTTCATCAGTGAAGCATATGTGAATGTTAGACAACTTTGTGTATTTTTTATGAATTTTTGTGCATTTGGAAGCTTTGGCTGGTACCAACATCACATGAGAATACCTTAAGGAATGATTGTGTGTAAATATCAGCTTTTATTTGAGTCATGTGCTTTAGAATACGAACTTCTTTTAATTGTTTTAATGTATCCTCCCCCCTCCCTTTTTTTTGGAGCTTCCAAATTTTTTTTTCTCTTATTGTGACATATTTTGTTTGAAAGACACTTTTATTTTGTGGTATAGGGTATTTCTTTTTCTCTATTGAAAGTCCTTTATACTTGCATCTCTTTGTAAGAAGATTAAGTGGTTGAAATTCTTCAAAATATTGACTCTTGATTTTTTTTAAAATGCCAATTCAGAGCTTATTATTGTCCTCTTCGGAAATGTATTCATCGGCACATAAGACAAATTGTTTTGCTCTCCACCCCTGTTTTGTATGTTCTTCATACCGTTTTTGGCTCTGCACTCTACGCTGTACAGCCTCCAATGGAGGTCATAAGGAGTTTTCCACTCCCATAAAATTATATATTGTCTTATATGCTGATGAATAAAGAAATCCAAATGCAGATCTTTAACTATAGTTGCTAGTCACTTAATTGTAGAGGACTGCATTCACGTTACAGATTGACTGATGGTGTTAAGTGGTCACCTGTGGTGCTTCACCTAGAGCTTGTTTTAAATAAAATAAGTTAAGTAGCATAATTTGAAGAGTTTAATTTCAGCCCTGAATCTGTTATTGAGCGAGATTGAAATTGAGTAAAATTGCTAATTGAGTGTGTGCTTCAATCAGGGATGTGCAATCTGAAGATGTTGAAGAGTACTTTTTATAATGCAAAGAAATTATTTAATATATATTTATTAGGTGCATTTTGTACAGCTGATTTAAGGGTCTTTACTTCGTAATAATATCAACAGAAACTCTGATAAAACTCTGTGGGGATGTAATGAAGAACATAAATAGAAAACTTCCATAGGATGTTGTGTTTATATTTAATAAAATCACTTTTGAATCATGTTATATTTGCACATTCCTACTAGAATGCAGTAACATGTTCAGAATTTTCTTTCTCTCTCTTATTTCCATCCCTAGTGTTCAGTTTAGATTATGCAGCTACTTGTGCCCTGCCCAAGGATATGAACATTGTAAATTTGGTTTTAGTAATGGGAAAAGTGCTTACAATAAAGAAATCAGCTGACTGAAGGGACTTTTAATTTCATTTGTATCCTGATCAATAATGCAAAAGGCTCAAATACAAAGTATGAACACACAATGAAATTAATAAATTTATTAGATAGGTGATTTAGCCATCACAAAACAGAATTATAACTTACATACTTATGTACAGATAATAATAATTTAAACACAGACACAACATACATGTCAAAATGGGATGAGGTCCAGTCACACGGGAGAATACTGCCATGACAGTACTTGATAAATGACCAAGCTTATGATCCCCTGAACATAAGAGAAACAAAGCAATAGATTGGTTAAGAAAAGTAGGCAATTTGTGTGGAATTTTGAAGTTGAGGTGCACTAAAACTTACACAATGATGTTGTTGATGGGAATGTGGATTAACTTCACAAAGAATCCAATAAAGCCCATGATGCAGAAGCCAACAGCTGTGGCCACAGCGATCTTCTGGAATTCTGCAAACCAAAAACACAACCGCCCAAAAATCAATAAAATAACATTCACATTCATCTAGCCCACATACACAGAAATGTCATTCATTACCTCTCCTGTCAGGCTTAGTGCACTTCTTGACCAGGCGAATGGAGTCCTTGGCAAACTGCTTGCCAGGCTTAACGAACTTGGTGATCTGGTCCATGTCGGTTTCAAGTCTAAACAAATAAAGCGGATGGTCGACATTAGCCACAGCATGTTAAGCCTAGGGACACTAACCTTACCAACCTACAGAATAAAAGCAGCTACGGGACCTCCATAATGAGTGTCAGTAGCAATACATCACCGGACTAGAGGAATAATAAAAACCAAAATTTATAAAACGAAACAAAAATTAAGAGGCAAAGAGAATATAGTCTAGATTCGGCACAGGCCATTGGCTACCCTATGGCCCAACCCTTTAGATCCATTTTACTATAAAACCATTCCACCTTTGAAACAGAAGATAATCATGACAAAACTAATTGGATAAAGCAGTTTTAAATGAAAAAAAGTGCAAACAATGATGGAAATAAAAAAAATTTAGTGACTAAATTCTGGAAGTCCAAAATGTCCAACCAGCACAATTTAAGGGGACCGATCATACGTCTTTAAGTTTGGAAAACACAATATAAGCAAAAGCAAACCACGGACGAACTAAGAGCACTTACAGAAGCTCCGAACACGAGCGAGAGAAGAGAGAGAATGGGTTTCCACGTAGCACGTAGCAGACACCACGGTTCAGCAGCAGGAGACGACGGCTACGTCAACACAACGCGTAGACACGCGTCAGCGTAGTGGTGCCACTACACCAGCCTTCCACCTAAAACTTCTTGCAAACACATGATGCACTTTGGAAAGAATCATTTAAGTGTGGATCGTGGTCTACTTTACTGGGTATAGTTAAGGGTTAAAAGGAATCAGCTTTTCAGTTCGAGGATCAATTATGCCCCAGCAGAAAGAGGGAGGGACATTTCATATTCCAGCGATACATCGACAGCAATGTTTCATGGCTGACAACCAAATAAAACCAGTTTTGTTTTGTTTTTTTGCTGTAATTTTGGTATACCTGTAGATTCAAAAAGTCAGTGGTGTCAGTTAGGCTATGCCTTCAGCTGGTACCGGGTTTGATGTGAAGCATTTAGAAATTTTTACTTTTATTGTTGGAAATCATCAATTGTAAAATGTCTTCCAAGGCTAAGTCAACCAACCAAAATATTCAAGTGTTCGTTAGAGTCAGGTAAGACCATGTCGCTTTCCTTGGCCCTTGGCCGGGGGCATTTGACGGGGCACTTGATTCCATGGCAGTTCACATCAATGTATCTGTACAATTTTATGTTTATTCAGGCCTTCTAATGCCTCGGAGCAGAAGTCTCGGTCCATCGTAGATCTTAAGTCTGACAGAGAAATTTCTGTAAAAGATCCTAAGCAAAGCAACACCTTTAAAACATTTGCTTTTAACAATGTTTTTGGACCAAATTCTGCTCAAGTAAGTTTTTGTTTTACTTTTACTTGGTGTTATGTTGTATTAATTGTCTCTTCTGCTGTTTCTTGTCGGACGTACAATGTTTTTGTATTTTTCTTTGCAGGTTGATGTTTATCGTTCGGTGGTCCAACCTCTCATTGATGAGGTTCTCAGTGGTTATAACTGTACTGTGTTTGCCTATGGTCAAACAGGTACAGGTAAAACTTTCACGATGGAAGGTGAACGTTCCACTGATGCTAACGTGACATGGGAAAAAGACCCACTGGCTGGTATTGTACCTCGCACCCTAAGTCAGCTCTTCGATGAATTAAGACTGTTGCAAGTGGATTTCTCTGTCAAAGTTAGTTTCCTCGAACTGTACAATGAAGAGTTGTTTGATCTCCTTTCTTCATCAGATGACATGACAAAATTGAGGTACATTTTGTTTGAGCTCTTATGTGGTATTAGAAATATGGATTGCTGTTAGTACATTTGTATTTTATCTTAAAATTTTTAACAGGATCTTTGAAGATAGCTCAAAGAAAGGTGCTGTGATTGTCAGTGGCCTTGAGGAAGTTTCCGTCCATTCCAAAGCTGATGTCTACAACATCATGAAGAAAGGATCTGATAAACGTCGAACAGCCTCTACTTTGATGAATGCAAGATCCAGCCGATCTCACACAGTTTTCACTGTGACTGTCCACATCAAGGAATCTGCCAATGAAGGAGAAGAAGTTATGCGTACAGGAAAAATGAACCTTGTAGATTTGGCAGGTTCAGAGAACATTGGACGCTCTGGAGCAGTTGATAAACGTGCTCGCGAAGCTGGAAATATAAACCAGTCTCTCTTGACATTGGGCCGAGTTATCACTGCTTTGGTCGATCGATCTCCGCACGTTCCTTACAGGCATGTCAACTCCGCCATCTGAAGTAATATTGCAGTGATTCTCTTTGAAATTTTTTCTGATCACAAAATACTCTTTGCAGGGAATCCAAACTTACTCGCATCCTCCAAGAATCATTGGGTGGCCGTACTAAAACTTCCATCATAGCAACTGTGTCTCCGGCTGCATGTAATCTAGAAGAAACTCTGAGCACACTTGATTATGCTCATCGTGCCAAAAACATTCTAAATAAACCAGAGATTAATCAACGCCTTTGCAAGAAGACCATGTTGAAGGTATTAAACTTTTGATACATCCAATAAGGTTTCCATAAGCTTCTTAGGAAATTCACTCACTGAAGGATAAACTTAATTTTTTCAGGAGTATTCAGAAGAGATTGAGAGACTGCAGCGGGATTTGGAAGCAACCAGACAACGCACTGGTGTCTACTTAGATCAGTCAGAATATGATAACATGATGCTCAATCTTGAACAGTTAGCTGAAGAAATTAAAGAGAAAGAGGAAGAGTTGGTCGTGTCAACAGAAGAAATGGAAAAGAAAAAGGTATGTTCTCCGTGATTTGTCCAAATTCGTCTTTTGGATTTCTATTAATGTACTTTTTGGACTTTTGCTGTTTGAGTAGGCAATCTGTGAAGAGCTCGGCAACAGAACTCAGGAAGTTCAGGCGACTGTTAAAGAACGCACCGCTATCAGAGATGAACAAGTATCAACATTGTCAAAGTTGAGAGCTGAAACCTCTCAGATAACTACAGATATCTCTGAAAAAGATTACCTTATGCTTTGTCATATGGATACTCTTCAAGTTCTTTCTTCTCAAGCAAACACGCTCCATAAATCAACTATTGAATCAACTGAAAATGTTGGTCTTCTTTATGATAAAATAGATCGCACAAGAAGTGCTTGTCAACGCAATGAATCTTCCATTGAAGAATTTGCCGAAAAGAATATTGAAATGTAGGAGTTTTTTCCTCATTTTGTGTCTTTATTTCTTTGTGGATGTGTGTGATAACTAATTTCTTAATGTGTGTGTTTCAGTACTGATGGAACAAAGGCTGTCATCAAAGAAAGTATGAAGTCTTTATCCAATGCTGTGTGTGGACTTGAATCTCTATCTGCACAGAATTTAAACTTAATGGGCACTCATTTACGTAATATTGAGTCTGCTGCTGAAGGGTTTTCAAAAGTTCAAGAACAGACTTCAGCCATTTGTGAGAAAATAAATGAGGTTGTAAATGAAGAGCCTGTCTTAAAAGCTGAAATAGATGTACTTCAGACATGCTATGAAGAATCCCATGTAACGTTCGAAGATCTCAACAAAGAGTTGGTAATACCCTGTCTCCTGCTGACTTTTAATATCCTTGTTGAATTTATTATTCACCCACTGATTCATCTATATCTTGGTTATTTCTAACTAGCTTGCCACAACAAACAAAATGAAAGAAGTCCTCTCTGTGGATTTTGGAATCATCACTGATTTACATTTGCAAATCAACATGGAATGTGATGTTCCAAGGGATATTCTGAATGATTGGACTTCTACTGAACCCCTTTCAGATATGACTTTGTCTTTTGCGAACGAAGTGGAGAGTTCAATGAAAATAATCGACAGAGGTTCCAGTGATGATGAGGCCTTCTCACAGAAACATCTTGAGAAGCAACAGGTACATGAGATGCTAATCTCTATCAAAATTGTACTCCACTGTTTGTTTCTGCACACTTTAATGTTCTTTTCCCTCACAATGTCAGGTCTGTGAAGAGAAATTTAAAGCTATTTCTAGGTTACTAGAAGAAATTGTATCTGTAGGAGGTGACATGATTTCAACAGCCGATGCTCATGGTAGATCTGTAAAGGAAAGTGTAAACACAGCAATGACAAAAATGGAAGAAGCCAAGGATATTGTAAGATCAGCTGTAACAGAGGAGAAGACCAAACTGGACAGTGTTCTTAGTGAAGTGCACCAACATTTTGATGGTGTATCACATATTTCACACAAATTGCTTGACTTAAATTGTTTGAAAGTAAGTAAAGGATGTTTTTACTGCAGAAGGGGTGATAAAATGTGGTTTTGTAAACACCTAATTAATTATGAATAACTTTATTGTTTCTCAGAGTGATTTTAACACAGAGCTGCTGCCTTTACAAACTGTGTCTCAGCATGGCCAGAAAATCATTATGGCTTCAGAGTCATTTAAGAATGCGGTCCAGGAGAAACTTGAAACTAGTGCTAAAAATTGTGAACGTCTCACTCAGATTCACGATGCACATGGCAAGGTATTGAATAAGTCAAGGAAAGGGAAGTCAAAATTTTGTTCAGTTATAAAATTGTATGCTTTTTTTTTCCAGCAAGTGCTTAGCTTGATTAGTACGGCAAAGCAGGGTGTTGAAGAACATGCAAATAAGTTGCTCTCCACTGTAGAGTCGTTTAATGTTGATATCCAGAGAGAAACTGGAGTCCTGAAAGAAATGGTGCAGTCATTTGAAGACCCATTAGTTAAACAGAGTGATGAATATCAGAGTGCTCTTGATCGCGTGCAATCGCTTGGTGCTAAACCATGCACTCCAACTGGTGAGGAAGTTATCTTTACTCAATTCAACTCATCTTGTGTGGCTTTAAGTCCAGTCAAGTACTGAAGTGTTATGCCAATGGCTTTTTTTCAGGAAAAACTCCTCTCAGATCTGATGTACGAATTCCTCGCGATCTCCCATCAACATTGCCTCATGAAAGAATTCTTTCTGGACTTCGAAGTAAATACAGCATTGTGTCAAAACTGGTGAGTTCTACTATCTGCTCATGCTCTTGGTGTTTTTTGTTTTTACTGTTTTACTCAAAGGCAAAGCCAGTTTCATGGTTTAGATAAGTCATAATTTCTTCTTTTTTTTTCTGCTCAGAACCTTGATGATTCCCCAGGCATAGACAGTGCATACTCTGATGTTGACTCAGACTTCAACAGTTCAGAAATGGATCTTTCGGCAAGTATTAGTTGTTAAATGGAGGATTCCTTTCGCTACCTATGTATGTGGTCTAATTTTAACTTGTTTTATTGACAGGCTAACAAAGAAAACTCCTTGATTGAACGAGAATCTTCAGAAAAAAGCTTCCAATCTCATCTTCCCAAACCTCGTAAACCACTGGCAAATAACAATTAAGTGATTCAATAGTTTATTATCAGCATGCACATTTAAGATTTATGCTCAAGTGCGTTTCATATTTTTGTCGAATTTATAATTTTTCTTGTATAGTGTTTCAATTAATTTGTATTGCTCTGATTGTACATATTGCATGAGTGTACGCTAAAGTGCGTTTTATATTTTTTACGAATTCCATGACATAATTTTTCTTGTATAGTGTTTTAACTTTTATTGCTTAGATTGTACATATTGCATGAGTGTACTTATTACTCGAAATTAAAGAAAAAGGAAACTATGTGGTGTGTTTGTTCTAACCCCTAAACCAAAGAGAGAAAATTAAGTAATTTCTTACTGCATTGACTTCTCTCTGAACGTGAGGGAGGTCAGGATGGAAACTTGGGCTGGGGCGCCTGTGAAGCCCAGAGTAGGCCGGCCTGCGCGGCCTGCGCGGCGGAGGGTTGCCTACCCTGGGCTTCACAGGCGCTCCTATTGGTGGCTCTGCGGAGAGGGTTCGGGCTAGGGGGAGGGAGGGTGACGCAGCACCGCCACTGGAAGTCCGGAGGGACGGGGGCTTCCCTCCATGGCGTCCGGCTGGTCCGGTAAAGGCCGAGCCGAACGCGGGGCATGCCAGGGGCACGGCGTCGAGTCGACACGCAGCCGAAGCCAGTCTTATCTCGGCTCGCCAGCCAAGCCAGCCCGCCAGGACTCAGCAGCCAGTGAGGCGGCGCGGAGTGCGGTGCAGCGCGGAGGGAGGCCCCAGCAGTGTACCGCGTCTCGCACCAGAGCCGTCGCGCCGGGCGCGCCAGTCCAGTTTGTAGTGTAGTATGAGGCTGGACAGGTGGTGACGTTCCCGTACTCATCAGCGTCGCTGGGGCTGGAAGCAGCTGGAAGATGGTGAATAGTGCTGTAGTGGGGGAGGTGCGCCTCGTGAGCCGTGCCGGTCTGCTTGACGTGCTTGACCCTCTGGTGGTGGTTTGTCGCGGCAGGTGCCTCTCGGTGCGTTCTGGGCGTTCCTGCAGGCCTTCCTTCTGCTGGCGGGGCTGGCGCTGGCCGCCGCCGCCCTCCTCCTGTACTACGACCCCACGATCCGGCGCGCCGTCAAGATCGCCGAGACGTACCCGCAGCCCAGCGCCCTGCCCGTCGTCGGCCACCTGCTGCACATCCTCAAGCCCCGCAGTGAGTGCGGCGTGCTGCACAGTGGGCCAGTAATCGGCGCAGGCGGCCAAAATTCTAGTCGCTAAATGAGACTCGAATCGAACGTCTGACCCCACCAATGGGTTGCTCTCCGAACGAGGAATGCATAGGTGGGGTCACACGCTCGGTTTGTCCCATTTAGCGTTTCTGGAGCTCAAAATGCGTCTGGAATTTTGGCCGCCTGCGCCGGTTTCTGGCCCACTGTGTGCTGGCGTCAGCCCGTGCGGACGCAGGGAGGCCCTGGCCCTGGAGTGGGGAAGACTAAAGGCACTGTTGCCGTACTTTTGACACTCTTTCCAGACGAGCTTTTCTGGCTGCTGCGAAACCTGCACGCCAAGTTCGGAACTCGATTCGCCATCATCCTGTTCGCCAGGCCCTCGTTCAACTTGGCGGACCCACATGCAGTCGAGGTAACTCAAACGGGCCCTAGCATTCAATAATGGTTGGCATAGGCTAATTTCTTCAGCGAAGTCCAGCCTTGACGCGAATTCGGAAGCTGAAATGGTCATGCTCATGTGGAGGTTCACACGATAACGTATTGTAATTGGGTGCACACTGGACCGTGGAGTACTACGTACCCACACCTGGCGTGTAACAATACCGGACGACACGTGTAGCATCGCGGCCTTGCCGGTCTGCGCCGGACTGCCTGGCGGCGCCTGGCGGGCCGAACGCGCGGGCGGGCCGTCGGCCGTCGGTCACGAACACGAACACGATGGTCGATGGTCCGAATCACAGGAAATCCTCAACATCATATGTGCTCATCCACGAACAGAGACGGTGCGATGCACTGGGCACTCATACGGCTTGGAAACATCCACAACACGGTGTTGAGGACTTGTTTATCTAGATCGGAACAACGACAGTAGAGCCGATGATAAGGAAATGAAAAAAGAATACATAAAATACAGTATGGTTTCGATTGAGACCTTTGCAGCTCTAAAGAAAAAATAGTCAGTATCTGTACCGGAGTAGTTCTTGTGCCTAGGAGAGATTGAGGCTCTCTGAAAAAAAAAGGCGCGCCTTTGACCCAAGAAAACATCTTTCCCGCTCACAGCCTCCACCCAAAATAAACTTTTCTCTTCATGACACACGATTTGAGAGCCTTGTCACAGACATTGAAAGAGCGCATGAATAATCATGCAATAGCTTGCGAGCTGGTTCCGAACAGCGATTTCGTCAGCCTGCCCGCCCCAGAAGTGCGAGTGAGACAGAGCGACGGAACGCCGATCGGAATCAGCGACTACTGACCCACCAGCGCGGCGTACAGTAAGCCAAGCAGCTGGAGACCTCGACGCTGGCTGACCGATACTCGTCGCCCAATGCACAGGCCGTGCTGTCCAGCAGCAAGCACATCACCAAGGGCAAGGTGTACGACTTCTTGAGGCCCTGGCTCGGCAACGGCCTGCTCACCAGCGAGGGCAAGCTGTGGCACTCGCGCCGCAAGATGCTGACGCCCGCCTTCCACTTCCGGATCCTGGACCAGTTCGCCGAGCACCTGGAGGAGCAGGGCGCGCGCCTCGTGGACGAGCTGGAGGCCGCCAGGCTGGCCAGGGCGTCGAGGACGGCCGCCGCGGCCACGGACGTCGCGGAGGACGTCCCGGAGGGCGCCGTGGACGTGGTGCCCGCCATCTCCAGGGTCACGCTGCGCGCCATCTGCGGTAAGGCGGCCAAGTTCTCACGGAACAGGACTCTGCTGGCGGCGCTGGCCCGCCCGGACGGACGGCCAATGGATGCTTAATTGCGGAGCGTTTCGGGAATGCGCGCGCGCTCTCCAGATTGATCGTACATGGCATTGCCGCGTCCGCATTAACTTTATGGCGTTACGAACGCCTGGTGACGTCATCGCGGCAGTGGAGAGTTCGAGCACACTAAAATAACCGCTCGCACCGCGTCTCGTTTTTGCAGTGACCGCCATGGGTAAAGTCGGATTCCAAAGCTCCGGGGACTCGGCGGAGGAAGGCGAGAAGACTTACTTCGAATCAATCCACAGGTAATCGCACGCGAAGCGCGACGTCGGGTGTGGACGTGATTCACCGATCCGAGTGTGGGGCAAGGGGCAAGCAGTGTACAGGCCGATAGTGGACAACAAACAAGCCCCGAGCCTGTAGGTTGGATACTCGAAGATCAAAATCAATGACAAAGCAAAATTCAGTTAAATTTTCACGTCTACTCACCGAATAACAGGGATCGCATGTCCGTTGTCTTTAGCAAACGGGGAACAATTAAAAAAAATAAAGCGGAAAATGTTGCAAAAAAATTGAAAATGTCCTTGCTCAGGGTGGGCACCGGCATCGTCCACCGCCTGGTGCGGCCGTGGCTATGGATGCCGATCGTGTACAAGAGGACCGCGTCGTACCGCCAGCTGTTCAACGACCTGCGCACCCTCCACGGCTACACTGCAAAGGTACAGGCGCGGAGTACCCCCCAGCATGCGAAGCCAGTGTGTATGGCACGCTAGGTTTCGGAACGGAGAGGAATCTAACCGACATTTGGGTGCAGGTGATCGCGGAGCGCAAGGCGCTGCTCGACGACCCGGACGCGAGGCCGCACGATGGTAAGCCAGCACGTCTCGCCGATCTTGTTCATCACCCCTTTTTGCGCTTCTGGAGACTCATCCCAGGAGGCGTTTTTGTCACTCTGTCTCCCTCGCACCCGCACGGGGCGCTCCGCGAGCGCGAGAGAGACAGAGCGACGTGGATCGTGGCGATGATCTCGATGGCCTCCTCGTCCTCCAGACGGCGACAGCAAGCGGCGGGTGCTGCGGCCCTTCTTGGACGTGCTGCTGAGCGCGCAGAGGGACGGCGCCGACCTCAGCGACACCGACATCCGCCACGAGGTGGACACCTTCATGTTCGAGGTTGGCCGCCCATCACCGTCTGCTGCACAGTTTTCACGTGGCTACAGTTTTAAGGAACGTACTCTAAGCTGACGTCCTCGTCCGCCACCCCACAGGGCCACGACACCACCTCCATGGCGCTGAGCTGGGCGCTGGAGCTGCTGGGCCGCCACCCCGAGATGCAGGACAAGCTGGTGGAGGAGCTGGAGGGCGCGGGCAGCGACTGGGACTCCGTCTCCAGGCTGCCCTTCCTGGACCGCGTGCTCAAGGAGTGCCTCCGGCTGCGGCCCAGCGTGCCGTTCATCGCCCGGCAGCTGGACACCGACGCCGTCATCGCGGACGGCCAGGTGCGTGCGTCGCTGTGTCTCTCTCGCACTGCTGCGTGGAGCGGCGAAGCCCCACGAGTGCGAGAGAGACAGAGTGACGAGAGCGCTGTGCAGATCATCCCCGCGGGCGCCGCCGTCAACGTCAACATCTACGACCTGCACCGCCACCCGGACTTCTTCCCGGACCCCGAGCGCTTCGACCCCGACCGCTTCCTGCCGGACAAGGAGCAGGCGCGCCACCCCTTCGCCTACGTGCCCTTCAGCGCCGGGCCCAGGAACTGTATCGGTACGTTTCCACTGCCGTGGCGGCCGCCTCGCGCTGCGCAGGTAGGCAACCCTTCCGTCGTCGTCCGGAGACGCAGAATGTGTTGCCTGCCTCGCCGGCGGCGGCCGGCCGGTACAGTCGTTTGCCTCGCCTCGGCGCAGCGGCCTCGGAGGCCTTGAAACGTGCTTCCTTCGTTGGCAGGCAAGCGGTTCGCCGTCATGGAGATGAAGCTGCTCCTGGCCAGCGTGGTGCGCGCCTTCAGCGTCCGCTCCGCCATGCCGGCCAAGCTGGACGTCATCGCCGACCTGGTGCTGCGGCCGCGCGCCGGCGTGTACCTGGAGCTGACGCCGAGGTGAACACGCCGGGGAGCGCGGCGTTGATTCCATTCCTGGAGAGAGAAAAGAAAACGACAATCACGATTACGGGCGGGAAGACAAGCACATGGACAATGTCATTGGACCTTCACTGTACAGTAGACTTATCAAGACGAAAAAGATTATTTATTTCGTAAGAGAGAAAAAAAGCAGCAGTGGAACGTGTATGTTGAGTCCCTCACAGACAATAAATCTTTTTCTACTTTACGAAACCCTACTTGTAACTTATTTTATCCCTTGCCCCTATTTTGCACGGTTCAATCACCTTTCTCCATTTAAAAAAAAACATTGTTTGTTGCTTGGCCTGGATTCTTGATTCACGTTCTTCGGAGTAAATACCTCTGGTTGTCCACCAGAAAACAAGCAATTACCGGCGTGGCAGGAGACATTTTCAAATCTCGAACGAGGCCCCAGGCAGTGGCGGATCCAGAGTCGGCCCAAGGGGGGGGGGCAAAGTAGCACTTTTTGCCTACTTACAGGGGCAAATTGGTGCTTTTTGCCTACCTTTCAGGCGGCTATCTAGGGGTCAAGGGGGGGGGGCAATTGTCCTTTTGCCCCCCCCCCCCCCCCCCCCCCCTGGATCCGCGCTTGGCCCCAGGTATGCTAAATTTTCCAAGTTTGTCGACCTTTCCTCAGTTTGGAAGCGTGTTCGTTCCCTGACCCTGCGGCAAACAGCAGCCAGGCACCCGCCGTAGAGGGCATGCCGCTCACAGCGGGTGGTAATCACCCTCATTCGAAACTATAAAAAACGTGTCCCCGCATACTTTCGTATTCATATTCATGCCAACTGAACCAAAAACGCGATAGCGAGAATGACCGCGGCGACCGCCCTTCTTATCGACCGCTCTCGTTCAGGTCGCCGCCGATGATGCCACTCCTTCCCCGGTTTTGTTCCATTTGCTCTGTTTTATCGACCACAAACCGACGCCCCGTCGGAAGCGGCACACACGTGGCTCCCTCGCCAGAGACTTTAAAACGTTCAGGCCGGATGGAATCATACTGAAAAATACCTGTTTGATAAACACTATGGTCAGCGAGCGGCTCGCGCGGCGGCATAGATACTCGCCAGGCAGTGCAGCCGCGTGACTGCGGCCGGCAGGCTCGCACTGCACTGCACACTCCATGAATGGCCGGACACACGGCCGAATGATCGCATGAAAAAGAGTGCAGTCACTCTCAGGTCTACAAGCGAGTCCCGCACACTGCGCGACGGTGCCGTGATTGGCTGGGCGCGATAACTAGGCCGCTGTCTTCCAATCAGCGCATCGCAATCTCGAGACAAAAAAAAAAAAAACAAACCACTGCACTGTGATACGCACAGACATGGTGATACCGGTGGCACGGGGCGATCCAGGGAAATCCAGTAAGAAATTGCCCTTTCCGGTGCCATGGTTAACATGATCAGTCGTTCAAAAACCGTGACCTGCTTAAAACATGCTGTGTCGCGGGCCGAGCCGCTAGATATCCTTGTGCCGCACAGCGCCGCGCCCAGACTGCACTGCAGCGTGTCTCTACTGTACAGAAGTCTGCCAGTCTATCCTTATTCTTTTTGAGTTCCCCATAACGAAAGTTGAGAGAAGTTTTCCCCGTAGTGTAGGAAGAGTTTTGGCCGGTTGTTGTTCCGTTGTTGGAGGAAGGACCGTATCGTTCGGTGTTGATGATAATGTTTGGGTACACCTGGGCGGGCATCCAGGCGGGCAGCCAGGCTGGCAGACCGTGGCCTTCCCTGCGGCTCGGCTCTAGCGGGGAGGGGGGGAGGGCGGAAGGTTGACTAGGTCGTGGCGACGCGGCTTTAGCGCAGCAGTCGGCCGGACGTATCGCTGCAGCGGAGACCGCGGAGACGCAGAAGCTTCGGAAGCTCTCCCCTCCCCTTGGTGGTGAAGCTCGCGCCCAAGCTCGCGCCCAGCCGCCTGGGTGCCGGGACCAGTAAGCGGGCGGCCGTCACACACATCGGTGCTCCGAAAAGTGGTGCACGGGATCGACGCCGCGCGCCACTGTCGGCCCTGGTCCTGTTGTCCTGATCAGCGCGGAAGTGGTCATCCATCTGTCCAAGGTGCGGTTCAGTGGGCAATCACAGTGGAGCAGTCGTGTGTAGTCGACGAGGGGTACGTCACTTCGTCTAGTCAGTGTACACCGCTGACTCCAGTCACTGCCTTGTCGGAGTCTAGTCACTGAAAAAGCCGGCACATACCCGTATATTTGCCCCATTCGCGGCATTTTTGTAACGCATTTGGTAAGATTTACATTCTAATCAAAGTGTAAATTCAGTCGTCACCATTCAGTGTACACCTGTTTCGGAAGTGAGGTAACCCTCGGTAGTCGAGTGCAGGCTCACCTCGGACTTTTCAGCAGTAAAAGCTGAAGCTGTCTGGTCTGCCTGCCGGCTAGCGACAGCCGATTAGTAGTTTGTATGAAGCCCGCGTCGCTCCGAACGTCATTCTGCAAAGTGACCCACTCAAGGCCGTGCATTCATATCACCGCCCCCTCTGGCAGCTTGTCCAGGCGACTCTAGGCGACTCCAGGCGACTCCAGGCGACTCCAGGCGACTCCAGGCGACTCCAGGCCGCCGCGATGACGCTGCTGCTGCTGCTCCCCGTGCTGCTGCTGGGGCTGGCGCTGCTGGCCGGACTCCTGGTGCTGGCCAAGTCCTCCGTCACCTTCTCCCGCCTGCGCAAGCAGTTCCCCGCGCCGCCCTTCGCCTTCCTCATCGGCCACGTCAGCGCCTACTGGGGCGATGAAGGTGCGTGCCGCCTACACTGCATAGGGCTGGCCAGAAGACGCGTTTCGAGCTAAAAGCTACACTGTCTGATCCATTCCAGTGCACTTGTTCAAAACGATGCAACGTTTCCGGGCGACCATGGGGCGCCGGTGGCTCATCAAGATGATGAACGAGCACGCCCTCAACCTGACCGACGCCGAGGGGGTGGAGGTAAGGCTGGGTGTGGCACAGTGGGCCGGAAGAGCGCTGGAGGCGGCAAAAATTCTAGACGTGTTTTGAGCTACAGAGTCGCTTAAAGCGACTCGAACCGAACGTGTGACCCCACCAACGGATCGCTCTCCGAACGAGGAATCCATTGATGGGGTCACACGTTCGGTTCGAGTCCTGTTTAGCGCCTCTAGAGCTCTAAACGCGTCTAGAATTTTGGCCGCCTCCACCGATCTTCTGGACCACTGGGAAGGGAACCAGTCAGCGAATGCAGCCTGATTTCGATTTTGGGCTCCCAGGCGGTCATGACGAGCAGCAAGCACATCACGAAGGGGCCGCTGTACGACTTTTTGCTGCCCTGGCTCGGCCGCGGCCTGCTCACCAACTTCGGTACGTCGGCATGGTATTTCAACTTGGCCGCGCTCCGATCAGCTCGAGCCGAGGCTAACCTTTTTGGCGCCTTTTCGCGCCGTGGCCCGCAGGAGGGTCCTGGCACCACCGCAGGAAGCTGCTGACCCCCGCCTTCCACTTCAAGATCCTGGACGAGTTCGGGCCGCTGCTGGCGCAGCACTCCGAGCAGCTCGTCGACGACCTGCGGGTGGTGGCCTCCGGCACGGAGCCCCTCGACGTGGTGGAGCACGTGTCCAAGATCACCCTGGGCACCATTTGTGGTGAGTCCGCGCACCGCAGGCAGTCCCACGTCACGCACGCTCTCGCAAGCATTTTCAATTTTCAAATTTTTAAATTTTTTTTCCCGCCCAGAAACCGCCATGGGCGTCAACCTGCACAGCTGCGGGGAGGGGGACGAGTACTTCGCCGCCGTTCGAACGTAAGTCCCACCGTAGCAGCGCGTCGAGTCCAGGACGAGCACAGCGGACTCATGTTGGTCTACTTGCAGTGTGGGTGCCTCCGTCATCTACCGCATGATGCGGCCCTGGACGTGGAACGACTTCGTCTTCGGCCTGACGCCGCACGGCCGGGAGGTCACCAAGTGCATGAACACGCTGCACCGTTTCACCGAGAAGGTGAGGAACACCTAGGAACACCGGCAGCGCTAGTTTCCGACGCATTTAACGAGCCCTTGTCATCCCTCCAGGTGATACGCGAGAGAAAATCTACCCAAGACACCAAGGCCGCCACCGAGCCCAGCCCGGGAGGTAAGGCCTGTCATCCCCACAGTGTATTTCTTGTTGACGAGTTCCAAGCGAGAAGCCTAACGCCGCCAAGGGACTTGATCGAAGTGACCTTGAGCAACACAGCAGAGAGATTTTGACTGAATTCCATTGCAGGCGAGGTGAAGCTCCGCAAGCGCCGGCTCGCGTTCCTGGACATGCTGTTGGCCGCGCAGAAGGAGGACCTGACCCTGTCCGACGTGGACATCCGCAACGAGGTGGACACGTTCATGTTCGAGGTGCGCGCCTTGCCCTCTATCCCACCGTGAAACATGGCCCGGAGAGAAAACAGGTTTTGAGTATTTGAAATTGGGCTTTGTTTCCCCCAGGGTCACGAGACGACCGCCATGGCCATCTGCTGGACTCTCTTCGCTCTGGGCAATCACCCCGACATTCAGGTGAGTCACCCCAGTGAAGCAGGGCATTGGTACAGCCCGCCCCAGCACGGCCAGGCTGGCCCACAGAGCGCCGCAGAGCGCCGCAGAGGGCCGCAGAGGGCAAAGACCGCCTATCAGGCTCCCGATCCGCTCCCGATGTCCCTCCGAACTCCCGAACTTCGGCGACCCGGGCCGCAGTGCCGCAAACCGAATTGACTTGCGCACGACGATTAAGTCACAAGCGCCTCGCCCGTCCGCCCGGCACTTCGGCAAGCCATCCCGCTTCCCGCGCTGGGTGGCGCCTGCAGTGTACGCAACCAATCGCACTCCCGGCGCTGGGGAGCGCCTACAGGGTAGGCAACCATTCGTTCTTTCCGAGTGAGGAACGCCGGCAAGGCAGGCAACCAATCACACCCTTCTAGCTGGGAAGCGCCTGCGTGATAGGCAACCAATCGTACTCACTCTCCTCATGTACAAATTGCCCGGCTGAGAAGCGTCATGTGGGCACCGACTTCCTGCTGGGAAGCGCCTGCAGTGTAGGCAACCAATCTGACTTCACCGACGGCGCAGCGCCTGCAGTCTAGGCAACCAATCGAACCGTGTCTGATTGACTTGGCAGGAACGCGTTCGCCAGGAGGTTCTGGGTGCCGGCCCCGCCTGGCAGGACATCGTCGCGCTGCCGTACCTGGAGCAGGTGGTCAAGGAGAGCCTGCGCCTCTACCCGCCCGTCCTGTACATCTCCAGGATCAACGAGCAGGGCCTCGACATCGGTGAGTCCCCGCCACCTTGACTCCCGGTGAAACGATTCATGTTTTTGGAGCGGCGTTTTCTTGCCCGTCGCAGGCGACAAGCACGTGGAGTCCGGCGTGCACCTGGACATGATCATCTACTGCCTGCACCGGGACCCGGCCAACTTCCCCGACCCGGAGCGCTTCGACCCGGAGCGGTTCGCGCCCGGCGAGGACCGCGGCCGGCACCCCTTCGCCTACGTGCCCTTCAGCGGCGGGCTGCGGAACTGCATAGGTACGTCGCTGCTCTTCAAGTCCCTTTCGCAGTGTGGCGGTTGTCTGATTGTTGGACCCTTGCGGCAGGCAAGCGCTACGCCATGATGGAGCTCAAGCTGATGGTCGCGGCCGTGGCCAGGGCCTTCTCGTGGCGCGCCCGGCACTCCCCCGAGGAGATCGAGTTCAAGCCCGAGCTGGTGCTGCGGGCCAGCCAGGGCATCCAGCTGTACCTGACGCCGCTGTGACTCCCCGAGCTCCCCGACAAGACTGCAGCGACAGGGGTGCCTCCTCGCAACCTTGCCAACCTAATGTGATATTAGCTGCTCTAGCAGAATTATTATTTTACCATATAGATAACGAATTATGAATAAAGAGAGTTGTTTGAGGATGTCCCTCGGCGTTTTCTTCAACGCGGCGCTGCGTGCCGTGCAGTGCTGCGCGCGGCGGCCGCCTCTGGAACCACCCTGGCCGTCTGCTAGTGTGCCCCTCGTTGCGGCGGCGGCCGCCAGAGCGCGCGGGCTGCGCCAGTGGCGCTGCACCAGGCCGAGGGCCGAGGCTCGCCGTCGATCAGCTCGCCGTCGTCGCCCTCGTTTCCCCGGACGATCGAAGATCGAACGCCGCCGAAGAGGAGAAGCGGCCGCCGCCGTTGTCTTGTGTGTTCGGGCGTTCGTTCTACAGTGTGGCGTAGCGGAAAAACGGTTCCGCCAATGGCGGGCCGCCGCTAGAAGGCCGCCGCCCCCCTCCACTGCCAACGGCTCGATCATGTATCGCCTCCTTTTCTGAGTGACATGCGGTGAAAGGTCAACCCTATCCGCCCCGCTGCCGCCCTGCCTTTGCCGCTTTTTCCTTGACGGCAGCACTCCGAGGCCCCGCCCCGCCCAGCCGCAGTTTGACCTCTCCTATGGCGCTGGGCCGCGCGGGCGCGCAGTGTGGCGGTTAGGTTCTCCTCGCCGTCAATCTGTCCCTCACTTGGGCCGCGGCCCGGCGGTCACGGCGAGCTGGCATTGCATTATGGGCCGGACGGGCCGAACGGGGCAAACGGCGAGATGGCCGACTCGATTTCGAAGAAACTCTCCGCGCTGCCGTGGCCGTGGCCTGTGGACTGATTCCGAGAGTCGTTTACGTCGCTCTGGTTCTCTCGCACTCGTGGGGCGTCCCCTGCAGGTGCGAGAGAGACTCTCGGCATCAGTCTGCTGGCCGGCTGGGCCGGACGGCCGAGGCTGTCGATGGACGACAACCCCTGACCGCGCGGCGTGGCGTGGCTCGGCCCCCCGGCGCCCCGCCCCGCCCCGCCCCGCCCCGCCCCGCCGCTAGCCGCTCGTTGCCATCTAGTGCTATTAACAAGTGCTTCCCCATTCAAATTGGCACCGCTGTCGCGAGACCGTCGCGAGGGCCGACGGAGGGACGCGGCGGCGCGGTCGCTGCCCCGCACCTTCGTCCCCGCCTCGCGCCGCCTCACTCTCCTCTCTCTCGCACCCCCACGGAGCGCCCTGCGAGTGCGAGAGAGACAGATCCACGATGGCGCTTCGGATCGAGGCTGCCGGCGGCGCGGCGGACAGAGACGGAGCATACTCGGTGCGGTACACTGGTACACACACAATCCTGGTATCCAGACAATTATTAATCGCTCGTCTGTCTCTCTCTGCTCGCCATATTTCGGGTATTAATCTTCGTTACGTCAGGGTGCCGACCGACCAAAGAGAGGCTGAGCGAGAAGGAGGAGAAGAGACTCTGTCGCGCTGCCCGCTCCGCGTCGGAATAATCATTTTTCTGGTTCAATTTTTGTTGGGCTTATGAGTTCCCACAAGCCTGTCGGGGGCCTTGATTTCGTGATGTACCGCAAAGAAGAATTTGGGAGCACAGAACTCGTGTATTTTAAACAAACGGAAATTTCATTTATCGATAGTAGCAGTTTTCTTTTGAATATGTGGCACATATGTACACAATTTTTCGCCGGCTGGTCCAGTAGTCTCCTGATGAGGTAAACGTTCCGAGTAAGTAGGGGGGTGGGAACTGACGGTGTGACGACGCGATTTCTCATCCCATATCGGACCTTCAGATGCATCACGCCGTGGACAGCGAGAGAGAGAGAGAGAGAGAGAGAGAGAGAGAGAGAGAGAGAGAGAGAGAGAGAGAGAGAGAGAGAGAGAGAGAGAGAGAGAGAGAGCAGACGGCTACAAAAAGAAACGGCGCGGGAAAAAAATGAGGGAAAAGACGTTGAATGCATTTGGACGTTGCGCTGAGCTGCCCGGGCCGAGACTCGGGACCGTGGTCGTCACCTCATGTCACCGCGAGGCGGCAGATTCAGATTCAGATTCGGATTCAGCGGCAGTGGCGGAGGAGCGACGCGACTTGCCGGTGCCACTGCACTCCAAAGAGATGGCGAACATGACGAAAATACGCCTCGCAGCGTCAACAAGTAGGAAGCGATCAGCGCGGCCGCCCCTTGCCGCCGCGCACCCCCTTTCTCTCTCTCTCTCTCTTTCTCTCCCCCTCCCTCTTTCCCGGAACGGAAAAACGCGAGGTGGAATAAGTGTTTCGCGGGGCGGCCACAGGTACAGATTAAAAAGAGCAAAGGCTTTTAAAAAGCGACGGCCGAGCGCCCCGCGCGGCTCGGACCTGCAGTTTGATTCCGAACAGCGCTCTCTCTCTCTCTCTCTCTCTCTCTCTCTCTCTCTCTCTCTCTCTCTCTCTCTCTCTCTCGCACCCCTGCGGGCCGGCCCGCGAGTGCGAGAGAGACAGCGAGCCCCGTCCGAAGCGAGCCCGCCGCGGTGATTCATCATGCGGGACCTTGTCGTCCCGGTCGCTCGATCAATCAAGTGCAGTGCAGCACCGCGCCGCCAGAGGGCCCCACTGAGGCAACACTCCCGTGTGCACAAATTTGCCCCCGTCGCTGAATTTTCGTGAGAAACCGTCGACAGGGAGGTGTTGCAGTGAGGTGGGCCGGCCGTTTGAGCGGCACGGCATCCAGGATGGAAGGGGGTGGTAACGAGCCGCGACGTCCTTGCGCGAGAAAACTGTTTGCTCGCCCTCAGGGGTGCCGCAGAAACCAGCCGACAGTTGCTCCCAATTTTTCGAGTTCTCGAAGATTTCTAATCAAACCAACGTCGAGGGTGGTTCATAAATAGCGTGACCTTTTTCGAACATCCAGGGATTGTGAGTGTCGAGTAAACTGTATCCGGTGAAGGCCTGCGGGTCTGGTGGGTTCGACTCCCACTGGCGGCCTCTTCTACTCACGTCTTTGAACAAATTTTCAAGCGGTCACGTCATTTATGGACAGTCCCTCGAGGTGAACCCTTTGCTTCGATTCGCACAGACGAGCCTTGAGGTGTCCTCTTCGGACGGAGACAATCTGTCCTCTTGTGTGTGACACCTTTTGGTGTGACATCATCAGGGAGTGTTGGCGACACACCGAAACACACACACACGCACACACACAGACACACAGGCGGATGGGAAGAGATACCCCCGGTTATCCGATCGCGCGTTTAGCGCGCTCAAATTGCAACGATTCGTGAAGCGGAGGCGTGGCCTGGCAGGGATCATCTCACTCTCTCACTCCAGACGACAATTAAACGATGAGCCACACAATACAGCTTCCCTCAAGTGGGGACGGACACCCCCCCCCCTTCCCCTCCTTTTCCGCTTCTTTTGGCTGAAACCGCGTGCTCTGTGGCGGTTTGAATTTTTTGAAATTCATCCTCCTTTAGACTGAAAAATATTTTCCTCAACAGGTGAGGCCGGCCAGGGTGACGAGCCCCTCTGTTAATTCCGCCAATCCTCGCCAAAACGGCGTCGCGCTGCTGCCGGGCTCCCCCATGCCTATTTACATGCCCGGCACTGAATGGGCTTGCCGGGAGGGAGCAGCCCTCTCTCTCGCACTCGGGGCGCGGCCCGCGAGGGTGCGAGAGAGACAGACCACTGTGCAGCCCCCCTTGCATAATGACTTTCCGATGCGCTACGAAAGGCGGCCAAGACGCGTGTGCATTTGTTGGCGGCGGCGCTCCTTGCTTTGCGGCGTCCGCGACGTGTCGGCTGGTCTAGCGCGTGCCGCGTCCCCACAACGCGCAGCGCACCGCCGTGACCCCGGGTCAGCTTTGTTGGCAGTGGGGTGGCGCGTCGGGCCACCCGTATGCAGAGCGAGCAGAGCTAGCGGAGCAGCGCGGGGTAGGCGAGGCACCCTCAAGTGGAGCTGCACGCCGCACAGTGGGCCGGAAGACCGGCGGAGGCGGCCAAAACTCGAGACGCGTTTTGAGCTCCAGAGTCGCTAAATGGGACTCGAACCGAACGTGTGACCCCACCAATGGATTCCTCGTTCGGAGAGCAATCCATTGGTGGGGTCATAAAGGCAATTTCTATAAATTTTGAAAAAAAAAAAAATTGGTAATGTATAAGACTCAGAACTTCAAGAAAATGGTTCCCTGGGCGTAGAAGCCAAGCCTCAGCCCCAGCCCGGCATGAGACTGTCAGAGATAGGCTAATAAGCGTGTTGGCAACGGGCTTGGCACCGAACTACCGCACACGATATTTGGCACCGTTTAGCGTATTGCGAAGTCGAATGGCTTTCCGCGGAAACACAATTACTCACACTGCCGTGCTCTCTCTTTTTTCCCGTTCCATTTCGCGTTTCGGCCTCGGCGAGGTCACGTACATCAGGCAAACCTACCTATGCGCGATTCCCACCGCGACCCGGCGTGATAAATGAACGTTTTTAACATTTTTGCGCGAGCGCGCGCGGGTCCGGCGTGCCCGCCGCCGACGCCGTGACCGCGGCCGAAAAAGCAACTCGATTTGAGCGACAACCGTTGGTGATGAATGATGTCGAGGGCAGGCGAGACGCGTACGTACCACTACACTGGGATGCAAACTCGCGCCGCGCGCTTTTTTACGTGCTTTTCACGGACTCGCCTCTTCTAATGATCGACTACGTGCTCGACTACGCGCGGCTCGGCGAGGCGTCGCGGGCCGGCGATCCGAAGAAGGAGCCCCGATCCCAGGAACGCGCCCGAAAAAAAAGCACCGATGCTCACGGTGTATGAACACGCGGCGCGCCGTGCAAATTTCAAGATTTCCCCAAACTTTTTTTTTTTTGAGTAGCAAATTTTTGTTTTGTCCCGTTTGGCTCATCCTTTCTACTCCGGGTTCACACTGCTGCCCCCGTTTTCCCGTTAGTGCCGCTATGCGCTTGTCTGCGCTCGTCTTCGCCGCACCTGAAATCTCATCGGTTTCGGCAAAAAACAGAGACGGCCGGTTCCGGGGATGGGAAAGAGAGAGAGAGAGAGAGAGAGAGAGAGAGAGAGAGAGAGAGAGAGAGAGAGAGAGAGAGAGAGAGAGAGAAAACGGGCCCTTGATCGGGTGCAGCCGCCCTAACGGTGCGCAAGGCGTAATCCTT